TGTAGTGTCTCTGAAAAATGCTATGGAAGGGGACACTAGAAAAAAAATAGAAACAGCATGGTCTCAAAAAAGAGGTCACAGCAACCTTCTGTTTTATTTTCAACAGAAAACTACTGTCCTGTTATGTCAACAAAGTAGTTAACTAGCATTTGAATACTTCATCCCCAAGGTAAGGGTTCTGGATTTCATGACCTCTGTAATAGTCTAATAAACCCTAATTAGCAAAAGGCAGCTGGTTCTCAGTAGAAGGATCAAACTTTAGCTCTTGGACTTTAGAGTTATTTGGACGCTGTTAACACTTGTAGTTTTGGTTTTTTTTGCTACATAAGAATTGTCCTTATTTTGTAAGTGTAACTAAAAATTAAATATTTAGTTTAGATTACAATATTCTCTCAATAGAAATAGCCCATTCTTTAATTCCTCCATGCTGGAGTGTCGCTCCATGCTAGCTAAGAAGGAACTAAGAGGGAACTCCGTGTCATTACATGCCAGCCAACAATGGACGTTTCTGTAATGCAGTCAATAAATAAAGTGCAATCCTATAAAATTTATATTGAAGAAACAAGTACATTGCAAAATTGATAGAAATCTTGTGTCAGGCATCACCCCTACAAATCACTACATTAATACTTTTTAGCAAACAAGCAAACTATATTTTTTTTAATTCTTACATTATCTTGTAACTAAATACCCTGAATGTCAGACATCAGTACCAAAACACTGTAGAAGTGCAAAACAAACAAACAAACACCACAGTAATAGCCTACTTTATGAAAAAGAAGCAAAATAGCTTTTAGACTCAGGTTGAATAACTCATAAGACTACTTGGTGCATACCATTTGACATGGTGTTGTATTTGAGAAAATAGTGTGGAATACTTTTAACTCATTAATTGTATAGCCTAATAATCAGCAACATGGTATCACGGGAAACTGTGTATATAGGCTATACTTTTTTTATGACTGCATATTTTCTAGGTTAATGGTTTTAGAGCGTTATAACAATTTACTTACTGCTCCTACTACTGCTGGTTGAAATGAGCCTTCTACGGTGTTCCCTTTTCCGAGGTCCGTTGTTCGGTATAGGCTCAGTCTGATTCAGCGGCGTACACGGTTCTGCTGGGTCCGGATGAATGATTTCCTCCGCTGTCAGTCCCCGCGCTTCTACCGGTGATCCGTTACGTGACCTCCCATCTGCGGCCTGACTGGAGCGCTCTACATCATCGACGGGTGATTCCGGGGACACATCCGGCTCATCGTGTTCCGGGGAGCCCGGTGTTATGTACGCTTGCGGTACCGAAGCCGAGGGCTGATCCGATTCCGGAACCGGACCGTTCTCCTCGTAATTGGTAGGGGAGAGACCCTGCATAAAGTACCGTTCACAATCGCTCGCACCATCTGTGGGTGTAATGAAAGAAAAGAGTACTGTTACCACATCTGCGTAAAAGTTTGTAAATAAATAAATAAAACCTACACACTGATTAAAAGTTAAGGTAACCTTACTTACCGACTTCTCCTGTGAGATCTACAACCTGCGCTGATGGAATGCCATTCTCCCTTGTAGAACCTATTTCCTCGCCTGAGTACAAATCTGTAAAAACAATATACAAAATACACATCAGGATAGTACACTTTTAAATTTAGAACATTTCTATTTCACTCTAGTACATAGAAGGCCCTCTTACCTTCAAGTTGATATTCGGTTGAATGAAGCCCATTGTCGATCAAGTCAAAAACTGTTAATTGAAAACACGCAGGAATGAAAATACAAAGTGTCGATTTTTGCTATTTCTTTAGTTGTGGAGGAAAGGCTGAATGCGTACCGTGTTCTCTTTGAAGGGTCATTGCTCTGGATTCAAGTCACTAGTGTGAAGACCTCTGGATTTCTGGTAGGGTACTTATAGAAGTAAGAAAACAAAAAAACACACGAGTGCTGCTCTGCATGTGGGAGATAACTGATGAGGGGTTGGGGCCGTTACTTCTGGTACAACCAGATTATTATTTAGTTCCAAACTCTTGTCTCCGGCTGATAAAAATAGCTTCCTGTTTCAAAAACGAACTCACGAACTCTGTCTGATAAAACCAGATCGTTTTTTTTAACATCCGGAGTCTGGGTTATAGATAACCAAAGTTAATAACTGGTCTACAAGATTACCTGAGGATGGCAGCTAAACACACAACACGCCTCGTTGAGAAAACAGAGGGAGGTGCGGGGGGTGGAGCACATTCCTCAATTCACCCCACAGCCTATGCTACACCAGAATGAGAGAGGACAGAGAAGAAGAGACACAGACTCTAGAAGGATTAAAGTTTTAAGACTCACAAGTTTAAGACTAGGCTACAGCTTTGGAGTGATAATGATGGCAAGTTTGTAAGACAAAGCAATAGCAAAGTAATTTGGAACACTCTCTTATTTTGCTGCATGCTGTTGAAGGTAATTTGTAATGCTGTTTAATTTTTACTCACCGTTATACCATTTTACTGCTTTACTGTCATTATTTCAATTTATTCTTCACTTGTTTACTGATGGTAAGTTTGTCACACAAAGCTTTAGCAAAGATTTTGAAGGTAATTAAAAAATGCTGTTTAATTTTAACTCACTGTTATACTATTTTACTGTAATTATTTCATCTTATTCTTTAGTTCTTAAATGATGGTAAGTTTGTCACACAAAGCTTTAGCAAAGATTTTACAAAGTTTAATTTTGGAACTCACTCTTATTTTGCTGCATGCTGTTGAAGGTAATTTTTACTCACCGTTATACCATTTTACTGCTTTGCTGTCATTATTTCAATTTATTCTTCACTTGTTTAATAATAAAGACTGACTTGATTCCAAAGAAACCTCCTACTGATCCTTTGCTGGCCCCGGAGATTCCTCCTTTTACTTATAACTCACTGCTATACTTTTTTAATGATAAATTTATTGTCACAAACACCTCCTAGTTAATTCATTCAAGTTGTATTACTTAATAAAGTCTTTAAATCAATGAAAAACACACAATGGAAGGATGTACGCAACCCTCTTATCAGTTACATACAGACATCCGGTGGGGTGGGGGGACCGGAAATAGCTGTCAAAAATGAGTTTGATGGAATGTATTGGATACTTCTCTCTGAGACTCTTCCTACAATAATTGATGAAATATCACACAAAGAACTGGTTCAAAAACCCATGTTTGTTATTGACTGCTGGAGGGAAATCACCCATCCTCATCTGTCCCTCAGTCCAGAGGCACTGACCAAGTTGTTCTCTGACCTGCAACCAACCACAAAAAAGGTCTGCAAACTGCTGAAATTTGACATCAATTTGACTCCAAAACAGAAGGAAGTCGGAAATCATCTGAAAAGATTCATCAGAGAGCTAGATGAAGGTAAACTTCAGAAATTTCTGCGGTTCTGCACTGGATCTGATCTCATAGTTACAGACAGCATCTATGTGGAATTTGAAGAAATGACAGAGTTCGCGAGAAGACCAATTGGGCACATGTGGGAAGATTCTGCTCATAGCTGACAGCTATGAGATTTCCGTTCAGAATTTAATGCAGTTCTTGAAAGCAGTGTCTGGGTAATGGACATTGTTTAGATTGACTTAACCATTACCACAACAATCCACTGTTAAGAGTTTTTCACGTTTGATCCAATTATGTAGAATTACATGGACAGAATTGCAAGGAATGGTGAGCAATAGATATTTAGGACCTACTATAAGCACTTCAAGAAAGCTCAGCCTTGGTTACAAAAACTATAGTGCTATTATCCCTTGTTTCATGTGTTTTAGTGGTGCATTCACAAACTATAACAAACTGGTATACTGTCTGTTACCAATGCCAGATCCATCTCCGCCAGATTCAAGTTCTCAAGCTGCACAACACAAACCTCACTGGACAGAAACATGGTTTGGTCATGTAATTGAGGTTGAGGGCTTACATTCCAACAGCAGCATGGACTATGGCATGCATCATCACTGTTGTGTGCAGTCAGCTATAGAATATGATGAAACTGTGTTTTTGCACTTTTATTCATTTTTATAAGTTGCAAATGATGCACCACCCAGGTGAAAGATGTGTGACGCCAAAAATGCCAGTCTGCAGTCACTGGTCATGATCTCATGTTGGACTGGTTCTTCCTTCTGAACAGACCACATCTTCAACAAATTCTCTTTGAAGTTCAGACCCTTGCAAGTATTTGTTGCTAAAGAAAAAATCTGAAGTGGGGTTAATAAGTCATACAAATCCAGAATTGCAGGTATTGTTGTTTTCAGCAAATCTGATGTGTTCTCTTTCAATTTTGGACATTTTTTACTGATTATTATTGCACAGGCACTATACAATGCAGTGTTATTATTACCCACCTTGTGGATCATCATATTTGACACCAGCAATGGCAAAGGGGTGGAATTGTTCAGGAATCATTGTTCCTAATTCTCAGGTTCTCAGCTGCTGTGTTATTTCAGTACCAGAAATTATTTCCTTGCTACTAAAAGCAAGTCTGGCATATAGCTTTTTTTTATAGCTGCGTGCAGGTCTTTCACAGCATTCACTTGCCTTAAATCTACACCCTGTTTATGGATGACTCTTGAGGGTATTTTGTGATACAGACCATGGTTAAATAGCTAATTTTACCTGAAGTGGTCTTGATCTTTTACATTAGGTTACTGTTGTAGAAGATGTTTTGTTAAAGAGGCTATATGAGAGTACAGGATATAAGGATAAACATTTAACTTTTGTATGCATCAAAATAAAATGGACCTTTATATACTACATTATGTAGAATTGTTCATGTAATGACCACTTTTAGCTCATTAGCATCGCTTTAGTTGAAATCTCTTAAGTAAATCCTCTGTTTGTAGCCATGTTAAATGTTACTTTTAACATTCAAATGTTAGTTTACAGAATTGAGCAATTCTGGTTATGTGCTCTTCACAGACTAGCCTATCCGGTTATGAGATTTAACCATCTTAATTATTTGCAGGTAAGGTAAAAAAAAGTGATGGGATAAATGAGGTTTAAAATACATTTATTTGAGAATGTTACCAAGCATTTTATATGTTGTAGTATTCATATTGGACACAAATCAGCTGGCAATAAAAATAATTATGAAAGAAGTGTGTGGACAGTAATACACACTGCATTGTGAGAATAAGGCTCTGAATTTACAACAAGTCATTTAAAGATGCAGAAAAATCACCTGAAAATGGTGCTGCTGAGGGTCAGACATTTCTAAGGAATATATAGAATATGAAAGCCTATATTTTTATCGATACATTTTTAGCAAAATACTCTAATGTTTAATTAAGTTGTTCCACTGCTTAAAAGCTTTAGAACACAGTTTATTCCTCAAATATCCTCACTGCATACAGAATAGTACTTAATACATTCATTTGTCCCCATTTTAGCATCAGTGTATTTCTTAAAAAATATTTCACTTATTGCCTGTTTATAAAAATGTAGTTGTAGTTTTCTTTCAAACTTCACCTAAACCTTTCAATATTAGCTTGGCTGGAACCAAATCATATGAATCACAGAGAGTTCAGACTCAAAATTGTTTAGGTATGTTATACGCATGAATAATCACGCTGATGAATAACAAATGATAGATTACACTGTTCTCTCCACCATAGCAGTAGACAGTTCTCTAGAGATTCTTGATGTCCATATTATCCGTTTATGTCTTCATGTACTTAGATGTATCCCAAATATTCAACTGTTGAAAAGCTAACTGACAGCAATGCTGAATAATTTGGTTGGGACGATGTAATACAAACAGTTCAGGTCACCCCAACATCTTCACCATGGCTTTGGGCATGGTCCTTAGGTCCCTGAGAAGTTGGAGAAGCTGATCCTCCCTTTCTGGATGTCTTTTGTGATCCAAAACATGTCAGTTGAATGGAGAGGCAGTGATGAGTGGGGCGAAGAGGAGGGTCCATACCTTAGAGAAAAACAGATCCAGTTATTAAATAAATCTACCACATAAACATTAAAGCTTTTTACTTTTCAGAGACAAGGTGACTACAGAAAACAGTTATTTGGGAGCTGGTTAAATTAAGCTGAAAATAATATAAACACATACAGTATTGCAACAAAATAATTATATAGAAGTTTACATATAAATACGTTTATATTGTCAAATACTGGTTGAAGATTTACATCTTTTATGACCTCTGTTAGTTTGTATTCAGTTCCTCTTTACTGTAGTCTATACTGCCAGTTTTCCATCTCATACTGTATTTTGAGTTTTGCTATATTACATGTACAGTCGTAGTACCTGCACACATTTCATTTCCTATTTAATGTGGATAGTCGAAACAAGGGTTGGCTTTGTCTGATGAAGAGATATTTAGGTACAAACATTTTGTCTTTATTGTGCTCTATACTGGTTATGTTCTCTGTATATGTTCTGTCAGGATAGTGCTGCAGTCATCTTGAGTTCCTGCAGTTTAACAAATTAAAACTTTTGGATTATACAACCATTGCCCCATAAATGGTAAATGGCTACATAGCACATACATACAATTGCACAATTACAATTACATATAATTTATCCGAAGTGCTTTACGTAGTTCTTTGCCACTCAGTCACCCAATGACACACACACACACACACACACACACACACACACACACACAGGTTCACAACAGTACTGTGTGGGAGTACAGACCTAACAGACATGATCCATTCATCAAATATTTTCCTGTATTTCCTCTCTTAAAAAAATGTACAGATCAGCTGCAGCAAGTGGATCTGCTGGAGCCTCCCATCCATGTTCCTCCATTAGTAGACAACACAGTTCAAAAACCGTTTCATCGCATGGAAACTGGCCTTTGGGAGTACACTCTTCCATACACAAAGTGACCTCCTCCATGGCAATAGGTTTGAGTCTATCTTCAGCACTGTGCAACTCTGGGAATGAGTACATCACAAACGGCCGACCCGACGCTGCGTCATCACTTGCACGTTGTCTGATTTTGTGTGAATTCCATGAGTTGACGACTTCGTCAAGTTCATCCTGCATAGAAAGATACAGTAAATACAGACTACAAACGTGTAATATAGCTGGTCTTATAGTATGTAACTACTGCCTGTCTACACTGAGACCTAGGCTGCTGCATTGTCATTGTATGCCCCCGTCAGCTACAGCACACAACAATAATCAATGTAAAAATATACAGCAATATGCCAATAGCACCTCCACCAAACAGCAAGGGCACACAGAATGATTATGTACTGATGCATGCACACAGTAACTATAAGAAGCTCAGGATGCAGCTCTAACTAAAAACCCTGAATGCTCACTATACGTTAACAGGAAACTAGGGCTGGACCTAGTTTCTCAAAATAAATCCCAGACAGTAAGTGTATCTTAATAGGGGGCTAGTGAGTTTCATGTCTGATATTAATACAATTAAGTTCTTCTTTCAGTGTTAAGTCATTTCAACATGTTTCAGCTGTTAGCTTCTTCTGCTAATGCACTTGAGCTGTCAGCTCGAGTTTTGCATTTCAGCTTCCACATTTCTGAAATGCATTTCAATTAATATCAGCCAGTTTCTTCAGCCATTTTTAGCTGCGCTTCAGCAATTTCTTCGGCTTTTATTCACAGCACAGATTGTGGCGGTAGCAGTGGCAGCTGGGAGATACAGCAGCAGGAGCTAAAAGCTTCCAGCTCTCACACACACTTTCTTAAGAAAATGCAAACATTGTAGTTTCAGTAATGATAGTATGTAGAAAAAAATACAAATTACTTTAGGAAATATTTAAGGTGATGGCTATTTTAGCAAACCGCCCAAATGTATACTTGTATTGCTTTAAGAGGAGTCTCTGGTCTCTCAGGGGAGCTGGCTCCCCGGTATTTCAAACAATCCATAAGATGCATGCTGCCCTGCTTGTAGTGCACCTTGACATTTCCTATTTAGATTATGATCATTATTATGATTATTATAGTTCAACACTATTGTATTATTATTACTACTACAATACTACTTTTATTACTGAATCATTTCAGAAGGCATTTCTATTAAGATATTTATTTTGGTGAGGAAAAATATTTTTACCTGAACAAGATTAAGGAAACAGAACTGTATAAGACTTTTGTCCAAAAAGTCTCCTGTGAAGTGGCCATCATCCTGGAAAGATTGAAATAAGTTCATCCAGAACTGCGCACTCTGTTTGCGGAGGGTACCCCACCATCCCTCAATGCGCTGGTTTGCTGTGCTTCTTCCATAAAGGAAACTTCTCTCCCCTGCAAAACTGTCTGGGTGGTGTCTCCTCTCTGGACATCCACCTATGTATGAAACTGTTTTGATGAAGTAACTTGCAACTACTTTAGGGTCGCTGTTCGTGGTATAGGCCTCCATCCATAACACATAGCGACTAAAACCATCTATACAGCCACTGATGGCAATGCCATAGGGCTTTAATTTGTCATAGCCATCCATGTGCCACAGCGCATTTGGCCCTCTGCAGCTGTACTGACGTCTTCTCAAGCGTCGTGCTCGTCTTAATTCCACACCTTGCGGATCAACCAGTTTGATGATGCGTCTTATGGTATCTTGTGACACAACAAATCCCTGTTGAACTGCACGAAGATGTAGCCACCGATAACCCTGCATCTGACCATTGGTCATGATTTCATGTTGGACAAAAGCCAGCACTTGCTCCAAGTCAGACTGATTCTTCCTCCTGAACAGACCAAGTCTTTTACAAATTCTCTTTAAAGTTCGGACACTTATTACTGTCTGATTGTTATGTGCTAAAATAGCAAGTATTTCTTTATTACTGAAAGAAAGTCTGAAGTACAGTTTGATATGATCATCCAAATCTGACATTGCTGGCATTGTTGTGAGCAGCAGAACTGATGTAATCTATCCAGTCATTTTGAGAGGAGACTTCTGCAGAAATTGAAGAGGGCAATTCGGTCTCCATAGGAGGGGATGTAATTTGCCAGCGCTGCATCATCCATCAGCGCGACAACGTTGCTGTCAGTCTGCACAGAAGGAAAAAAGAAAAGACAATGTATAAATAATGTTAAGGTTATGCCCCTTAAATCAGTAAAAGTGTTAGTAGGAAAATACTGATCAAATATTTCAGGAAAGCCTTGTGTGCAGGGTCAGTACAATAATGTAATAAAAAAACAAAAATTTAATCTCAGTTCAGGATGTAAGTTTAATATGCGTTTCTGCTACCATAGAAGGCTGGTAAAGTAGTTTAATAGTTGTTGTTTTTTGTCTGTTTTAACTGTGTTTATTGTTGATTTACGACCGGGAGTCCGCACAGGGTGTTTTATTTTGAAAATCGACCGGATTCTCTATGCCGTTCTGTGTCAGACTTCCTGTCCGGTTCATCTGCTCTGTGCTGCTTGACGAAGCTTCCGTCATAAATAGAGATGCAGCCAAACGAGTATCTCCGTGAAACGGCGGAGCGCTAAGAACTTCCTTGAGTTGTACAGTCTTAAGGAAAAACACACATTAAAACACCCAACAGCTTCAGTAACACGTTATATTCACCTGCTGTCCGCTTTGTGTGTGAGGAGCTGCCCTCGGACACAGTGAGCAGACAGGAGGACAGAAGCGGCGCGACTGGCTGAAATGTTGCCGCGTCCGTTCTTTTGTCAACAAACACAGACAACAAGAGTCACTAGTCACCGACTACAGATGCTCTCACTCGGTCTTCGAAGGCAGTTTAAAACATGATAATACAACCAAAATGTCAACAACACAAAAACCAGCCAATATTCTTGTTAGCTACCATATTAGCTATCAAAACATGCTAACTCGTCCCTGCATTACACATCCTTCATCCCCTTGAATTTCCTTTGTTTTTACAAACGCCATGCAACAAACTAACACATATTTCATTTTTACTCACCTTTTGTTCTTCCAGTAATGAAATGGCTTCATCTGGGACCCCTCCAACACGCAAAAACTCACTTAAATCCGACATCTTCGGTCAGTGTGTGGTTCCCGGGCTAATTTACATCATGCAAGTGATTCTCTCACATGGGACCTTTACAGGTACCCATACTTCTGACTTTAATCTCATACTTCTGACTTTAAACTCATACTTCTGACTTTAATCTCATACTTCTGACTTTAATCTCATACTTCTGACTTTAATCTCATACTTCTGACTTTAATCTCATACTTCTGACTTTAAACTCATACTTCTGACTTTAATCTCAGAATTCTGACTTTAATCTCAGAATTCTGACTTTAATCTCAGAATTCTGACTTTAAACTCATACTTCTGACTTTAATCTCAGAATTCTGACTTTAATCTCAGAATTCTGACTTTAATCTCATACTTCTGACTTTAATCTCAGAATTCTGACTTTAAACTCAGAATTCTGACTTTAATCTCATACTTCTGACTTTAATCTCATACTTCTGACTTTAAACTCAGAATTCTGACTTTAATCTCATACTTCTGACTTTAATCTCATACTTCTGACTTTAATCCCATACTTCTGACTTTAATCTCAGAATTCTGACTTTAATCTCATACTTCTGACTTTAAACTCATACTTCTGACTTTAATCTCAGAATTCTGACTTTAATCTCAGAATTCTGACTTTAATCTCATACTTCTGACTTTAATCTCATACTTCTGACTTTAAACTCAGAATTCTGACTTTAATCTCATACTTCTGACTTTAATCTCATACTTCTGACTTTAAACTCAGAATTCTGACTTTAATCTCATACTTCTGACTTTAATCTCATACTTCTGACTTTAATCTCATACTTCTGACTTTAATCTCAGAATTCTGACTTTAATCTCATACTTCTGACTTTAAACTCAGAATTCTGACTTTAATCTCATACTTCTGACTTTAAACTCATACTTCTGACTTTAATCTCATACTTCTGACTTTAAACTCAGAATTCTGACTTTAAACTCATACTTCTGACTTTAAACTCAGAATTCTGACTTTAAACTCATACTTCTGACTTTAAACTCATACTTCTGACTTTAATCTCATAATTCTGACTTTAATCTCATACTTCTGACTTTAATCTCATACTTCTGATTTTAATCTCAGAATTCTGACTTTAATCTCAGAATTCTGACTTTAATCTCAGAATTAAAAAAAAAAATTCACACGTGGCCCTAATCCTCTTCCGCAGTTTTACTTATGTTCTGATTAATGAAACACATTTCTTAGTAATACGGTGTTCCAAAGTCCATATTTGGAAAGTCGAGAGTAAACATTAAGTTATTGTTTAATAGCAGTACTGTTGAGCATTTCATGCCAACATATTAAGGTTAAGAAGGTAATCTTGCAACAAGATTTCATAAAAGTAATTAGTTTACATCTCATGTCTGGCTAATTGGCATCATGTTGTCTCACTCACAAGTTGCAGCCCAGCACTCTGGGAAGCAGTTAAATAATGTTTGTACCATGTAGCTTCACTGCTGTCAGCAACAATAAACATTTAGAACAAGTTCAGTGTACACTTTGTGTAACACATTTGTGTTAGGCTGGTTTTTGAAACAACATCTTTGCATCTAGGGTACAAGATTTAGCACATAGTTCAATACAGCCAAATAAATGTCTCGTCCATAGGACTCTGATGGTCCCTGTAACATCAATAGTGTTTGTTAAGCCTGTCCTGTCCTGCTCAGAGAGGACATTCAGTGGACGGAAGAATCACTCCAGGTCTGCTCACGTCTTGCTCGCTGGCAGTGTTGAAATGAAAATAATAAGAATAATAATAAAATAAAAAGAAAGTCATTTATAAATCAGGGAACATGAAAGTAAATTTATAAAAGTATAAAGAAGACTAATGTGAACAGAGCGGATACTATGCTGATGCCAGTATCAATACAGTATCATCTCTTTTGTGTTTTATTCAATGCGACCTAAGCTGTTGTTCAGCTTTTAAACCATTTTAAGCACTTTGATATTAGTAAACTCTCTCTGCAATGTGAATTTGGAAAGAATGAGTTCTGTTATCACTTTCATTAATTTGATACTGATGATTGGAAACCACATAAAGTCAGTTTTTATAAATTACATAAAATAATGACGCTACAAAATGAACTTTACATTATCTTGCACCAACGTTTCATCAGTAATGTAATTCACCATGAAAGCTTTATCATGGAGTAACTTTTCAGGGATTTCTTTACAGTGTTCTACAGATATTTTAAACACAATGGTTGTGTTTAAAATATTTGAATTAAATGAAGCAACTGTAATAATAATAATTAGTACCTCTGTCAGGTCTGGAGCATCAACAGGATTCAGGAGGAGCCCCTTCATCCACAGTTGTTGCAGGGACAGATTCTGCTCTGTTCTCAGAGGGCGATTATCCCTCCCCACCCCGAAGACATCGAGATCCTCTGCAGACGTGGAAGAAACACATGCTGGGCACAGAAAAGATGGATGCTGTCAGAAGGGTCTAAAATCAAGTTAAAAGAAAACATCAAATTATCCTCCAGTGGGTACAGTACGTTTGAACTTGCACTTGTGTAAAAAATAAATGGAACATGGAACAAAGGTAGCCCAATTTAGATGGATTTATTGGACAACCGTAAGTGAAAGTTCCAGCTACTGCTCTTCTCTAGACTAGAAGACGGATATAAAGATGCCATTGTTAATACTCTGGTCACACTAGGACATGATCCAGTGGTAGGAGTGGGTCGGTTCAAACTGGTTTGATATTCAGCCAAACACCAGACCGAACCTTTAGGTGTCACATTGAACGCAGCAGATGCTCTCCAAAGTGACACTGAACGATGACAAGAAATAAACAGAAGAGCTGGTTCCACCGGTTACTTCAAATTAAACTGGTTTGAGATTCTAAACCGCACCAGAATAGTAAAAACAGAAATCAACCCAACTCTATCCAGTGGTAAGAAGACCTGAAATACAGTAAAGTCAAGAAACCATATAAAATACAAAAGCACACTATCTAGTGATATCTGGACCTAGCTATATTAAATATATAAATATTATGGCTTCCAGTCAGATATATATATATATTTCTTTTGAGCTGTGTGGATCTGACCTATTTAAAAGAGTTTAATACTTGCCCTGTGATGTGCCTTTCATGTTACGTGTTTTATGTGGTTTCTTTGTTTTGACTTTTTCCCAGCTGGATCTGGGAAATATTAAGTGCCCAGAGAGTTTGGAAGCGTGTGCAGACCTTTGCTTCATGTGTTGTGTTGTTTGTTGTTGAGGCCTCTGGATGTGTGTGGCATAAAGAAAACATACCTTTGGTTGTGTACACTCTTTCCTGACAGGAAACTCCCCCTTCCACAGCCTCTAATGGTGAACATGCGTCGCGTCGTCCACTCCTTGGTCACCTCTTACTCTGAAAAGAAACCGTCACACATAAAAAAAGAAATAAAAAGTTTTTTAAATAAAAATGCATCATTAAATGTTTCAAGAAAATAGAAGATATGCTAACTTCTAACATCTTTATGTATTATAAAAATACAAGACAAAAAAATCCAAAGCACTCTCTTTTAAACAAATAAAATGCCTTTATTGTAATAGTATTTACAAAATTTAAATGTCCACTTACACGTGCTTTGGCATCAGGGAGTCCCTGATGGAGGCTTCATACCAAAATGTGTTTTAGCACATTTAATAAAGGCATTTTAATTCTTATGTGACCATGCCGGTATAATAAAGGCATTTTAATTCTTATATGACCATGCCAGTATAATAAAGGCATTTTAATTCTTATATGACCATGCCAGTATAATAAAGGCATTTTAATTCTTATATGACCATGCCAGTATAATAAAGGCATTTTAATTCTTATATGACCATGCCAGTATAATAAAGGCATTTTAATTCTTATATGACCATGCCAGTATAATAAAGGCATTTTAATTCTTATATGACCATGCCATTATAATAAAGGCATTTTAATTCTTATGTGACCATGCCAGTATAATAAAGGCATTTTAATTCTTATATGACCATGCCATTATAATAAAGGCATTTTAATTCTTATGTGACCATGCCAGTATAATAAAGGCATTTTAATTCTTATATGACCATGCCAGTATAATAAAGGCATTTTAATTCTTATATGACCATGC